TTGGGAAAGAGTACATTTTACATGAAGTTTGTTCAGGAGAAGTGCAAACTGGTGGCTATAAGTGTGTGTATTGGGGTGTGACCACTGGGGAACTGTACAATAACAAGTATAGATCTCTTCTGGGAACTCTGGAACCAGTGTGATCTATTTGATACCTGCTGTTGGGAGGCACTGACTTGGAAAAGAGAACAGGCCTTGCAACTGCAGTTAAGAAAACTGTCATTGCATTGGTCCTTAGGTTAGATTGCATATATCATACCTTGTTTGTGTGGTGAAAAATGCAGCTTTCAACAGCAATGGGAAAGCAACAAGCCAGTTGTTAATGCTGTTTTTTTCCTGCTGCATGTCATTAGATTTATTACATCAATATGTGGCAACTTATCTCCCCACGGGCTTAGAGATATGTCTGCAGTACCCAGTGACTGGTGCCTGCCAACTGCCAGCTGAAGGAAAAAAAAAGCAAAATCAACAGAACATGAAGTGAGTACAAAGGAGACTGGCACCAGTATGTCATCATTGGAATAATGCACTGAAAATTGTACTTCTCTAAAATCCATGATCAGCTCTTTTCACTCCAAAGTGAGTGCAGAAGAAAAGCCTTTCCAGTAAATCAAAACCAGAAAAAATATTACAATTAACATCTTTCAAGCCATCAGCACTAGAAATGAGTGTTTCATTATGAGAGGGACCTGATTCCAACACAGATCACCTCACAGATGCCTCCTTTCCAAATCATGGTCACAAGAGTCATCTTTTCTTCTTTGAGAGGTCACATTCTTCTACTGCACTAGTTGGAAGAGCTGCCTGTGCAGAAAATACTATTAGGTGAATGCACAGGGGATTTTCAGTTGAGAGTCTACCTGCCCTTGAAAATCAGTGTATTTGGGGCATTTTCTCTGTCTTCTGCCTTTGAAAACTGCCCTCTTCAGTATTTGCGTTTTCTTCCAGTGGCTACAGAAAAAAAATAAAACCAACAGTGACATGACCAGTAACTTAACCAGAGACCATAAGTCACAGTTCCTCAGGTTGATTGTAACCTGACTGGGAACCTCTGTTTTATCACTGGTACCACGGGAAAAAATGGAATACGATTCACAGCAGGTCAGAACAGAAGCAGTTTATGTATTATAGCTGCAGGGGAGTGTACAGAGCAGCCGGGAAGCTGACTTTGCTGCTATGATCTCCTTCCCTGTAAAGTAGATTCAAGGTTTCTATACACTTAGAGACACTAGGCGAAAGACAGGTAGCAAGATGGGAATTATACAGACCTGGTGCATACACAAGGCCACAGAATTGTTCAAGGTAGGTCTGGAGTCTCTTTTCTTTAGCACAGGGACTAATTTATCATGAAGGTTACACAGTGATTATTGGTTTGGGAGATAGGGTGAGAGTTTGACCAAGAGGCTGGCTCATATCTCTTAACATTTATACTTTTGCGATGGAAATCTGGAAACTGCATGGGAGCATTGGATTTTCTGATAGCTGATCACTTGCAACAGGGGCACTTTCAGCTTTCTCTTGACGGACAAACTCTCTTTCCCCAGCCTGAGCCTTGTTGTTGACCAGAAAGGAAAGAATTTGACTTCTGGAGCACTTCTCAATAAATCATAATTCTCTAAATGGTGTGAGACTGCCTTTGTTTTCACACGTTCTTTACTGGGTTTTATGTCTCTTTATGCTTTCTTGTTGAAAAATCATTTGGGAGTGATTAGTGGAAGTGCTATCCCTTCTTCCCACACCATGGATACCAGGTGTGGTATCCGTTCTTCCCACAGCAAGCGACCTGAAACTCAGATGCAGAGGTGTATTCCTTCTGCTCTCCCTCCAGCCAGGTGAATCATGACTTACGTATTCTCTGTTACGTAGAACAGCCTTGGGAGGCCAGGCTGAGCACGTCCTCACCAGCCCTCCAGACACATTCTCAAAACATCTACAGTTTGATAGTTAGGGCTCTCTCTGAACAGTGGCAGAACAGTGGCAGGGGACCATTTGAATCCTCTGAGATTAGATATGCAGTTGGGTTTCCAATGAGTGCTCCGATAGCCGTTGTTAAAGGGCAGAATTTTCTCTTTTTTCAGCTTAAAAAAAAAAAAATCAGCCAGGCATTTTATAATTTTATGCCTGACTTTACTGAGTGGCTGTGCCTTGTGAGAGTGACAGCTAACCTTCCGAGAAAAGATAGAGAAGGAATGCCATTTTCTGGTTCCTGGTCAGGCTTAGACATGAAATATGACTGAACAGCTCTCTGCTTTATAGCTCTTCTGTAACTCTATAGATTCTTTCCTATGTAGATCACCAAAAGCCCTAAGTCATTGCTGTGTAGTAGCTTTTTTCTAGCTTTGATCAGTGGTT